AAATTAAATTCCTTAAGCTTGTTAGTAAACTGTATTTGTAAAATAATTCTGGAAATATAAATGAATATAAACAGAAATGAACATAAACAGAAATGACATAAAACCAATTCGAGCCCACTGAATTCACAGTGTTTCCTTAAGGAATTTAATCCCCTCCTAGTACCCAAGGTTATGGATTATTTCCTCCCAGGATAGAACGAATTACACACTGGTGTAGTGGTACTTCAAACCCCAGTGTTTCAGCGAACACAAAGTTCGGTAGCAAATCACACTTACTTTTTACTTTGTTTGATGCTAAAAGTATGCAGAAGGAGAGAAAACTCTGAAAATCGTAGTGAAATTCTGAGCAGAATAGTGTTGTATTTATAGCCAAAGTTGGGCTGAAATCTGAAGAGGTGCAACTCTTCAGAATGGCTGTTTATGCAAAACGCCCACAGCATAAATGCCATTACATAAATGGCCATTTACTCAATAATAAAGAGGGAAATAAAGAGGGAAAATTGAAGACGGTAGTTACTTTTCTGTTATCAAAACAGAAAAACGGATTGGATTTAATATTAATATTCTGTTATTAAAACAAATATTTAATAACTTTTCTGTTAATATTTTACTATTAACAAATAAATTTGGTCCAAAAAGTTAATCGATCATTTGACCAAATCTGAAGCCGAAGCCGAAGCCGAAGCCGAGCGAGCGACGACGACGACGGCGCGGGGCTTGCCTTCTTCTCAACTCTTTAAGAGCTAGAAGAAGAGCAATTGCTTATATACCCATAAAAAACCTCTTCCTCTTCCAATATGGGACAATGCCCATTTGCCAAGGGGAACTTAAAATTTCACTCAAAAATTTCATTTCCCTCCATTTCCCATTCACCCTCTTTTAAGTATTTAATATATTAATTAAATACATCCAAAACCCAACACAAGTTGCAACCTTTTTCTTTTCAAATATTGATGTAGTGCATTTGATAGTTTGGTCAAAGATCACTTTTTGACTCTTTCAAAGCAAAAATGGACCAAAATTAATAATTTGGAGGGATTATTAGTGAGAGTTATTTCTGTGGGCTGTGTCTGCCTGCAATTGGTGTAATTTCATATCCAAGCACTTTGTTGATAGAGAAAGGTCTTAGTTTGGATGGCTCTCAATGTGTACGTTCCTCCTAATTGCATGTATTTTGTGCAGCTACTGTTGGGCTATTTGCCAACTGAGAAAGCTTTATGGCCGACAGAGTTGGCTAAGAAGAGGTCTCAATACAAACATTTTAAAGAGGAGCTTTTGATGAATCCTGTAAGTTTTCGTTCCTAATGCAGTGATTATTGGCTAAGTTCATGCAGTCAAACACATTAAGGTTATTTTTACCTCTTATCTATATTGTTAGGTGCTCCTGTAATTGGTAATTGAAGAAGATGCTTTTTGCTAATTGGAACAGTTACAATATTCTGTATTACTGACATTATGGCCGCAAAATTTATCTTCGGCATGGTTTTATAAATGAAAGTCATACCAGTGATTCGGTGATGCTTGCCCACTTGCTATTTCTTGCAAGTTTTCAGAGTTTTTTGGTACTGTAACAAATAAGGGCAAGTTACTTGGCATTTTCTTTCATGGTGATGCATTCCTACTTGACTTTCAGAAATTTTAGATCCTTCGTGAAAAGAGAAAATATCCACATATCCCTACTGAATAAAAATAATATTTTGGGTTGAAACAACTTGTTGGATGAATTATTTTAGTGTTCTTTTTCCTTTTTGGGCCTTTGAACCCTTGCAATTGATTTTGCTTATTGCCCCCGTGATTCTGAGTTGGGGTTCCTTATCAAAATAATTGCCCCTGTGATATTGAGTTGGGGGTTAATTTGGAAAGAAAAGATTACAGAAGCACTCTCATGGATCAAAAGTCATGTATGGTATTTGGGTGTTATTGTGTACTTTATATCTTCAGCACTTTCTTTGTTCTTTTGTGGAGGCTTACTTATTATAAAGGGTGTTATATATCTGGTGAATTTGTATCAAAATAAATATCTGGTGAACTACATGAACTTGAGCATTGCTTGTTTTCAAATGTTCGGATTCTGAAATTAATATGGCTAGGCAGTCGGAGATTACGAGGAAGTTGGAGAAGTCGGTAATTATTGACGATGAAGGAACAGAGGTAGAGGACAAGGGTGTACTCCCAAGATCAGAGATATCTCATGGAGAGCATCCTTTAAGTCTTGGGCAGAATAGCATTTGGAATCAATTCTTCCAGGTAGAACTTTTATTCTTCTTATTCTTTTCCAACTTTCACCAACGTTTACGTGGAGGTTCTTTCGGGTCATAACTGAGGTGTGTATGTCATCGCAACATGGTTGCGTTTATAAAATCGGATTCATACATCCTTCTTCTTTATTTCTGTAGACATTCTTCCTAAATGTTATCACTCCCATTGAATATACAATTCACTAGTAATGTGGTCATGATGGCTCAAATGAGGGAAGTGTACCAATTGCTTCTGGAAACATCCTTTTCTTTTTGTTTCATTATTTGTTTGCGTCTTGAAGCTGTTCTCAAGTACTGCTGGTGCATTACACTGGATATTTGGTGTCACAAATATCACTTCCTACACGAAAGTCTACCTCCAATTATCCGACCGCTTATTACATTGAAAGTGACAATACTATTTGTTTCTAGGACACGGAAATCATTGAACAGATCGATCGAGATGTCAAGCGCACGCATCCAGACCTGCACTTTTTCTCTGGGGACACACCATTTGCAAAATCTAATCAGGTAAATTCTAGCCTTTCTGGCTTGAGAATTTGGTACAAAGTGCAAACCTCTGCAGATCAGCTAATAGTATATCTTGTGTTATCAGGATGCTCTGAGGAATATACTCATTGTTTTTGCCAAACTGAATCCGGGTATAAGATATGTTCAAGGGATGAATGAATTATTGGCTCCACTGTTTTATGTATTCAGGAATGATCCCAATGAGGAAAACGCAGTAAGTGATGCCTTGTACTGCTTTGATTAAAAAAGTTGATGCCTTGTACTGCTTTGATATTGGATTAAATTTGCATTAATTTCTTTTTTTGATGAGAAGATAATTTGCATTAGTTATATCTTGTAGATCTCAAAAGAACATAACAAATTAGCGGCCATAGTTTTCCTAAATAAGTTAAAGGGAATGCTCTGAATTCTGTTATACCATTCTTATGTGAACTTCCAATTTTGAGCATATTTCCTTCTTTCATTTTGTTTGTCTGTCTTCTTTTTTCTTCCCGATGAGGGCTTTACTGTAGCAATACTTTGGTTAGTAACACTCATTTCCAGTTTGTCAAAACCTTGGTATCAGATATTCATATTTGTTTCATGTGAGGACTTATGTGAACATGAGAAAGTTACACTTTCCTGAAATGCCAAAAACATGTCATTTGAGAGGCATGCCAAAAGTACCTCTAGTAATTTTATGTAATTCGATTACTTCATTCCATATATGGACTGCCTGAGTCAATATTCAGTAGATTCGTGATAAAATTTATTTAAAAGAAACAATAGTGCAAGTAGTTTATTATTTTGCTCTTGTCCTTTTGCGTCATTTCCTCATATTGTTGTACCAGCTTGTAGATGTGAGGATTGTGTTTGAAAGATGATAGTACTTGTTCTTTTTATAAGGACAGAAAGATGATAATACTTGTTTTAATCATATGATCAGCATTTCCGTGATGTTTTTTTTAACCAGAGATGTTACTTATATTAACCGTTGCAAATTGTTGGTGGAGTGCTTTGAATAATTGGAAATTGTAGTATGGTTCCTTGTTTTGTAGACTCCATTCTAGTTTATTCATATATAAGTTGCAAAATGGGAGAAAAAAAATCACACGTTGGGATGATCACATCGCTAGAAGTTTCACCCTTCATTAAAAAAATAACATCGCTAGAAGTTATTCTTCAGCTTTTTTGTGGATTCAAGCTTCAATATTTCTCTCGGTTCAGCTCTTTTTATCATTTTCAATTTGCAAGCTATGCAGGCTTCTGCAGAAGCAGACACTTTCTTCTGCTTCGTGGAGCTATTGAGTGGATTTCGTGATCATTTCTGTCAGCAACTTGACAATAGTGTTGTTGGAATTCGTTCTACAATTACAAAGTTATCGCAACTTCTGAAAGAACATGATGAAGAGCTCTGGCGGCATCTTGAAATGACGACTAAAGTAAGTTTCTTTGATGCTTAATTTTAGAAGCTGCACCCGTAACTACAGCTAAAAATGTCTCTTTATTACTGTCTGATCTGAATTGTCCAATCTGCAAGTTTACACCAGCTAATGATATATATACCATTTGGATTGTTTAAAAGAAGATGAATGGTATGCTAACTTATTGTTAGAACCTTCAATGCCAACAAAATAAGTACATCAGGCTGCGGATTTGAATTTCAACATTTGAACATTGATTGTTAGCTATTAAAAGAAGATGCAGCAGTAGGGACTTGTCAACCTAATTGTTTACTTGTTTTACGGCACCTTAGTTCGGCTGCAGGTGACTGCGTAAACCTTGGAGAAGTCACTTATAAGTTCAATATTTCAATGAACACATGTTAACCTAGTTCACTAGTAAACACTTCCTTCAACATTAATTCAATACTTCATTCTGCTCTATCAAAGAAAAGAAGTGCTTCATATTGTAGCACCTTTTAGATATTCTGTGCAGCTGACCGGACGTAAGAAAAATTGTTTCAATTTTATCTTTGTAGCTTGTCCTGTATTCTTTATTGAAGATTGAAGCAACTAGTAGCCTTCCACCTTCTATTAATAGGATTTTTCTGGCGTTGCTTTCAAAAAGTACTTCGCTGCAGAGTGCAGACTAAGTGATTGCATACATGTGTCTAATTTAAATTTATATGTCCTATTGTCTGTGGTTTTTAGGCAACTGTTTTATATTTTGTAGATGTGTGCCTGTGCGTGTGATTACAACATTTCTGTCTTTGTCTGTAGTTCCTTTGGAAATTGCAGCTTTTACTCTTGTACTGGCATATGAGTGATAAAATGACTTTTGACTTCTCTTATTTTTTGCCTTATTCTGATGCCATAGTACATTATTTATATTGTGGGTGTATCAGTGGTCATTATGTGCGATGTTGGATGTAACAGGTGAATCCACAGTTTTATGCATTCAGATGGATAACGCTCCTTCTAACACAAGAATTCAACTTCGCGGACAGTCTGCTTATATGGGACACACTACTAAGTGATCCTGAAGGACCTCAGGTAAGACATCATGGAAGTGATGCACTTTTGTATCTATATAGCTTCGTAAATTTGTTTGCATGAACTAATAGCTTGTTAATTATTTTCCTTTCTGCTTATTGGGGCTAAGGCTATAACAACTAGTGAACTAGCTAGGATTAAGGCCATGTTGGTATGCATACCTTAGGCCCTCTTGCCAAGTTTGTTTAAATTTGTAGGTCAGTAGAAAATATAGAGAATTTTTAGAGTTTGAGAACCCTATATTTTTCTTAAAGACGAATTATTTCGTATTGGAATGAAACAGATCAAATGAAGCAAAATGGATATTGATGATTATACAATCAACTCCTCCTAGTTTGTGATTGAGGCAGGGTTATTGTTGTTTGCTAGTATATTTTTTGGTTTATTTCCTTTGTAATGTGTGAACATGTCCTTTGGAGAGAAAAGGGGTTCGGAAATCCTGGATTTGATGGGTTGTCTCAGTTGTCAGACTCAAAGAGATGGTGATGGGGCAGTGCAGGTTGGGTCCATATCTACATGCTGCAAAGCGGGGGTTGGGATGGGAGGGAGCTTCTTGGGGGCAGTTTCTAATTTTCAGCCAAAAGGTTTCAACTTGCAAAGACCTTATAAATATTTTTAAAAAAAGGTTTCAACTTGTAAGGAATCTGCTGCCTATTATTGCATTTGCAAAGCTGGTGATTCCAGAAATCATGGGACTTTCATGCCTGCTGTATGTATCATAAAAGATCAATGCTTCATGTCTGTTTACCGCATTTGTATTATGGGAAAAGTTCTGTCTGGGTTTAAGAGCACTTTTGCATATGCTGTTTGCTTTGATGGGTTTTGCCTGGTGATTTTTATCATGACAAAATTACGAGTGATTGCTACTTCTATGTGGTTTGCCATCGTGATTCGAGGTAAAAGAACTTACGACTCGTCAGATGAGTGCAGTGTGTGTGGGGTGGTTTGCTTGAATTGAACGGAGAAGACGGAAAAATATTGCAAAGCAAGAGTTGGAGGAGGTTATGCAAGTTGGGGAATAGAGTCCTTGGGGGTGGAGTGAATGGATGCCAGATCATGTCCCTCACTACTTTTGTAGCCTGTCCTCATTAATAAAAACACAGAAAGGATTCTGTGTACTTGTACTTAGCTTAATTTGGTAAGCTCTCTAGTATAACAAAGCCCTCGCGTGGGAAATACAACCAGAGTATTGGTAGTTATTAGCGAGTACATTTGGTTAAAGCTTTTCTATTACAACTCCATCATTAGTTTCTTTTGCAGCATGTTATTTTCTGAAGGTTCTATCAATTTGGATTGAAATTCCCTACAAATTTATGCTTCCTCCAACCCTTCCAAACTGTACCCCTGGATTAAGGGTCTAACTAGAGATCCATTTTGTTCACATTTTTATCACCTACGCATGGGGAATATTTATGGTGCAGGGGGAAGCAATGATATCGTTCTCAAGTAGGAAAAAAGGCTGGTATATAAGTGGAGAAGGGTAGAGGGAGTTCATGAAGTTCCGAACCATTCACTACGGACTCTTGGGGATTTCTCAGTTATTAAAAGTAGGAATAATCAAATTTCTTTTGAACTTGCAGGAAACATTGCTTCGAGTCTGCTGTGCTATGTTAATTATCGTACGCAGGCGGCTACTTGCTGGCGATTTCACCTCTAATTTGAAGCTACTGCAAAATTATCCATCTTCAAATATCAGCCACCTGCTCTATGTAGCCAATAAATTACGTGTTAAATCAGCTGGCTAAAACTGTCAAGCAGAAAAGAAGTTTTGGTTATCCATTCTTTGTATTTCTTGAAATTGTAATTTTAGAATGTAAATGTCTGTTAGAATCAGCTGTAGACATCTGCCGACCCCCCCCCCCTCCCCCCCCCCCCCTAAAAAAAAAAAAAAAACCCCCTCTTCTCCTGGTTGTTCACCTTAGATTTTGTTGTCAGTAGATTGAATAGATTTGATGGTTTGTTCTTTGGGTTGATGGGTAAAATGGATGTCATTTGCTATTTGAGTTTGCAGTGAGAGTTCAAAGCTGTCGGTTTGGCTTGGAAAATTTTATGGTATGTTCAAATGCATTCCTTACAAAAGCATACTCGTGATTTCAACTGTTAGTGTGAAAATACACAATTTCCCAAATAGAAGATGCATCCAGTAAGAGACAATGATCAATAATTGACTAGTCGAAAACCATGTTTTACAAGAATGCTTAGCTATCAAAGGTGCAACAAAAGCAATTCGTGCTATGCAACTATAAAACAATGGAGCTTGTGTCCCTAAATTTGTTGCTATGTGATGTACATGTACATTTAATTACAAAACGCAGTAGAATGGAGCAAAATGTGTAATCTATGAAATATGAGCAACGAGAAGTGACCAATTATACTTAGTTTGCATTAAGGATATCACCAACAAAAAATTGAGCAATAACATACGGTAGAACCTCTGTTTTGTATACAAAGATAAAAATGAGTTGATGATTAGATAGAGAGAGTACACGGTACTTTGAATGCAATGAAGTAGAAAACTTAGACAAAATCCTGAAGTTGTGTGAGGAATGAAATTCCAATCCCTCTTGAGATTCCCACAGTAGGAATATTATCTCAAACCGCCATAGTTTGTTGTGCTTTTACTGAAACTAGTTTCTCGGCACGTGCGTTGTACGTGTATGCCGAGTCAAGTAGCACACCATTCATGAAATAATATTAATTATATTAGAAAAATTGAACAAATAATTATATATTAAAAAATATATACAAGTTTTTTGTGAATGATCAATGTGGCGATATAGTTGTATGGTACCTTATTCGATGAGGCTGTGTGAGAAAATATGTTGTGGTTGTAAAATCCAACATTGTGGATTATTCGGACATGTGCTTCATTTATTGTCATTGCAAAATATTTTTTGGACGAATCTAAAAAGATATCCTTCATTGTTAAGGGAAGATAGTTGAATTCTTGAGATAAATATATTTTCCCAACAGATTGATTAATTTTAAAATATGCATGTATAACATTGTTTCCTAATCCTCTAAAGCAACGGCGATTGGTGTAACCACATATAGTGAAGGGTGGCCAGTTAAACCCCTTTTATCGAAAAAATTATAATGTGTATATAGAAAATTATATTGAGTATATCGGTAAAAAAAATTACAATATTGTAGTAAAAAAAATCTTGAACACTCTTAGCGAATTTTTTGATTTCGCCATTGCTCTGTAAATCATCTTTGTACCGTTGCATAATCCAATTTGAAGATTCAAATTCCAAGTAGCATGATAGGTTCATTTTCTTTCATTTCTATCATGTTTAAGGAAGCATAAACATATCTAAATTTTTGTTGGTATTTTTAGAATATAGTATATATATATATATATATATATATATATATATATATATATATATATATATATAGGGGAAAGAAAGAGAATAAGTGAAACGTAAATGGCATAACAGGTAGGGGAATATATAGGGTCAAATTTGACCGTCAGCGTCTCTACGCCAGTGGGTACGCCCAGTGAGTGTACGCCGACTAACATAGTGGGTACGACTCGGACGTGGGGACGAAAGCGACATCGTTTAGGACTCAGTGTCTTCACTAGGAAGACATTACCTATTTTTGTAACTTTTTTATTATTTCGAGGAAGGTCTCTTATTATATAAGGGAGACCTTCACATTGTAAAGGGGGGATGCTGGAATAAGACAACTCTCTCATTTTCTGACTTTCTCTCTCTATCTCTGCCTCAAACGAACATATTCTCTTGAGTTCATATTATCACTTTGCAATACTAGATCTACAACAATAACATCATCTTTACATCTCTAGGTCTATTATATTTGATTACGATTTACCCTTTTCTTACTTTTGATTGTTTTCTAGCTTACAAAGTATATTGTTAACTTTTGAGCCAAAAAATTTGGCGCGTCTGTGGGGATTTCGAGAATCAAAATCATAGTATCCACCTAGAGATCAACCAACTACCACTCTCTACACCACACAAAAACAGAGGATGGCCGAAAATAACACAAGATCGAAAGCTATATTGGGTGTCACTACCAATCTCCTTGGCCCTCTCAACGAGGCCAGTGACGATGGCACCCTAAATGCAACCCCTAGCATCACACCGGGTGCAGAGATCTCACCTTCCCCATCCGAAGATCTGACGATCTTGCACGAAAAAGGAGCTTCCACATCGGCGGCTACGGAAGCACCCCCAGCGGTCAAGAAGCTATTGGAAAGATGGCTAACAAGCACTCTAAGTGGCTTGGTTGAGAGGTCACCACAAAGTAACATCAGGTGTACACCAACGGTAGATACCACTGCCGCCGTGGGTGAACCAGAAGTTGCACTAGCAAATAACGAACCCGTCGAGACACAGACCAATGATGGCACGCTAACAGCCATCCTAAAGAAGATGGAAGAAATGGAAAATGGAAACAAGGCGCTCCGCGATCAGATGAAGGAACATCAAGAGAGGGTCGACAAGATCCCCGGTGCTCCTAAGTTGCTACCAAAACGCGACGTGGGAAGGTTCGTTGAACAACCATACACTGAAGAAGCTGCCCTCACTCCACCCCAAAAACCTTCAAGATGCCACCCTACTTGAGGGTATATGACGGAACCACAGATCCCGAGGATCATCTGATCCACTACGTCACCGCTGTGAAGGGCAACGACCTATCAAAAGAACAGGTACCGTCGGTACTGCTGAAGAAGTTTGGCGAGACGTTGACAGGAGGGACTTTAACATGGTACTCTCAGCTACCGGCTAAGGCAATTTCAATGTTCGAGGAAATGGCAGATAAGTTTGTCACAGCCCATGCAGGCGCGAAGAAAGTGGAGGCCAGGGTCAACGATATCTTCGCCGTCAGGCAAACCACAGGAGAGGGACTCAGGGACTTCCTAGCAAGGTTTAACAGGGTAAGGATGAGTCTACCAAACGTATCGGAAGGTATGGCAGTCGCCGCTTTCCAGAACGGGCTAAGCAGGGATGGTTCGAGGGCAACCAAGAAGCTGCTGAGCCGCCTCATGAAATATCCCCCTACCACATGGGAGGAAATCCACAACGCCTATTGCGCCGAGGTACGAGCGGACGAGGATGATCTTAATGGGCCGACCCAACGGCTAACAGCGATACACTCAGAAACGAGGAGAGATCGACGGAACGAAGGACGACGGGAACAACTCCCCCGCTCCAACAGAGATCGACACCAGCCATACACCAGATCCTCCCATCTGCCACCAAGGCATACAGACGCACTACAGCGACACGTCGCCCATTGCGAAACGAAAGAGGTACGCCCCCTTTATTAACTGCCCATAACTTTTGTGTATCTCCTTCAGAGATAGTGTACGCACTGGAGAAGCTAGGCACCAAGGTGCATTGGCCGCAGAAGATGAAATCAGACCCTGCCACAAGGAAATCAAACGCCCTATGTGAGTTCCATCAGGAACGAGGACACAAAACCGAAGACTGCATAGGCCTACGGCAAGAGGTGGTCAGGATGCTGAACCAGGGATACCTGAGGGAGCTACTCAGTGACAAAGGAAAAATCAACTTTGCACGCGGACGAGAACAACTCCACGGGCCGCCGAAGCCACCTTCCCCAGCGCGCACGATAAACATGATCGTCGGAGGCGGCGACGACTCAGCGATCAATCACGTCAAGCTCGCCACCACACACAGACTAAAGCGGACCATCGCCCATGAACGGTATGACGACTTCGAAGATAGTATCACCTTCGATAAGTCTGATGCCGACGGTTTGTCTTTCCCTCATTATGATGCCTTAGTTATCACTTTACGTATCGCTGATACGGATGTTAAAAGAGTCATGATCGATGACGGAAGTGGCGCCTGTATTATCCACCCAAGTGTCCTCATACAAATGGACTCGAGGATAAGGTAATACCGCGCTGCATAACACTAACCGGTTTTAACAATGCAGTGGAACGGACGTCCGGAGAAATAGCACTGCCCGTCTTAGCGGGAGGAGTCAC